TGTTGCTGGTGGCCACCGACTTGGATAAATCAATAATTAGGTTTAACTGACTTCTGGCAGCTGAATATAACCAGTACCAGCCTGGCTTTCATTTTCGCTCTTTTCCTGTCCACACAGTTTTATAATATAACATTAACTCTTCAAATAAAATTCCAAAATGGCTTCAACAATCATAGAAAAATACCATATCAAATTTCACTGATGCTCAAGACTCCATCTGGAACAAAATAGAAATAAACGAACAAATCAATAAATAAATAAACAAATAAAACAGAAAAATGGAGATATTACAGAACCGATTCACCAAAATTGAACTTTAACCCCTGATCACAAGCACGTGCAATACTAATAATAATAGAAGTGATGGACAGCTTCTGCGTCGAGGCACAATGAATGATTGAAATGAAATAAAATGAAAATGAAAATGAAATGAAGTGGGGTTTAACGTCCTACTGTTCTAGCTGCCCCGACTGGGCTAATGAAGACGGGCATACGCCATATACAGTGTGCTATGAGAGAAATTTTGCCCGGACAGCGGCGCTACGGCCTACTCTTATATCAAATTCCAACTAAGGGACCTTTAACGTGCATGCCAATGTTTACACGGGACATCGGTTTTTCGTCCCATCCGAACGACTAGACAGCTTGCCCTATCAGGCCCTCCGTCCTTCACCTTTGGCAAGAGGAAACCACGCCGGAAAAATCCCAATGAACTTTCTCGACCAACACTGGGAGCGAACCCGGATTTCGCGGGTTCGCCCCGCCTACCTTGGGTCGATTTCCAACTGTCGGTTTTCTTTTACGCCTACTTCAATGTGTTCACGAGTGGACCTTGAATTTAACGTATTATCCAAACAACTAGACATATTTCCCCTGATTCGGGCCAGCAATATTCCAGTCTAGCGTTCGTTTTCCTAACTGGCGTGGTTTCGATTCCCCGGTTGTATACGTGACAAGGAGTAGGGTCGCCTATCCAACCTCGTGGGTTTTCTCCGGGTCCTCCGGTTTTCTCCCACTGCTAAAGACCCGTACGCGCAAGCGAATTATGGAAATAGAATCGAACCATTAGTCCCAAAATGACCTAGTTTGTGTCGAGTGGACGTTAAACCTTTCTCGTTTTCTTAACTCCATGTATATAAGGAATCTCAAATGTAATCGCTGCGATATTCGAACTCATCGACAATCTTCTCTCCTCGATATATTCCGGTAATAAAGAGAGAGAGAGAGAGAGAGAGAGAGAGAGAGAGAGATGGGGTTTAACGTCCACTCAACACAAACTAGGTCATTTCAGGAATAACGTAAGGTTCAATTTCATTCCAATAATTCGCTTGCGCGTAGGGGTCTTTAGCAGTGGGAGGAAATCGGAGGACTGGGAGAAAACCCACGAGGTTGGACAGGCGACCCTACTCCTTAATTGTCACGTATACAACCGGGGAATCGAAACCCCGCCAGTTGACTCAATGACAGACCTAATGATATACAGCAGGCACACGCTAACCATTCAGCCATTCAAACCCCCTTTTCCGGTAATAACGGGGTATATTTAAATCTTAGACCTTTAACAGCCCCCCCCCCCGAGATTTAACCAACGGTGTTTATAGATGACCTAATCTTCTATAAATAGCTTTATAAACAAATATCTTTTGTGAATCTGCGTCGTTTAATTCACACCCCACCCCATCCCGCCGCCCATCCCAAAATGTCGTGGATTCAACAACCAACGGCGTTTGTTAATGACATTCTATAAATAACACTGTAAGCAAGCGTGCTTTATATAGCGCATTATTCATAAAACTGGCTGCATTAAGCCGGGACATCTTGCCCTCCACCACCCTCTCGCCCCTCCTCGATTTAAAGTAGCTAACTCAATATCATCCAAAGTCTTCCACATTGAAAACGGGGGATCACGTGGCTAAGTGGGTAAGACGCAAGCTCGCTAGCCTGGAGGTCGGGTGTTCGATCCCTGCATTGGCCGAGAAAGTTCATCCATATTTTCCGGCGTGGTTCTCCCTTGTCAGTGATGTCGGACGGAGGGAGGGGCTGACAAGGAAAGCTGTCTAGTCGTTCGGATGAGACGAAAAACCGAGGTCCCGTGTACACATTGGCGTGCACGTAAAAGATCCCTTGGCAGTTGGAATTCGATATAAGAGTAGGCCGTAGTGCCGCTGTCCGGGCAAAATTTCCCTCATAGCACACTGTATGGCGTATGCCCGTCTTCATTAGCCCAGGTTAGGAGCAGAACAGTAGGACGTTAAACCCCATTTCATTTCATTTCATTTCCACATTGAAAACACGAATTATTTGTCAATTTAAATCAACTTGCGATCTTATTGGGAAAAGATGGGCTTCTCTCTGATATCCTTTGAATAATAGCGCCTAACAGGCAGCTGTGTTTAATTATGTTCTCCTGATTTTGATTGTTTCTGTGTGTTTGAAGTATATGTTTGTGATATGCGCTTAGAAACACTTCACGTGTAATGAAGCGCTATATAAATCGAACAATAATATCCAATATTTACCATTGGTACACGAATCCTGTACTATAATGCGTTTCAGTGCCATTTGTAACAAGGGACTCGAAGAACGAGGCTTGACATATTCCACAAGTCATGTCAAACGGTGACGTCATATTCTTATCTGGAGAGCATGCGCAATAAATACTATTGGTGTAGACTGGAATAATCAGACGCTAGAGATTGTCATTTGATGGGGACTTTTGGCGTATTTTGCCGTATATAACTGATTAGAAATTACAGTAAAACGAAGCGATTTAATGTAAATCAGTTTATTTACATTCATATTAGGCTACATTATTATATGCGTTGCGACCCATTTGTGTCAATTTCTGGGTTCCAAATATTGGCGATGTGGTTCCTTTAACCAATAACTTAGGTAGATGACCTCTTAACGTCTATAAATAGGCAAATATGATTTCTATATAATGCGGTTATTCATAAAATCGACAGTCCCCTTCCCTCTCCTCCCTATCCCACCATCCCTTCAAGGATTTCGGGGATTCCCGCAATGACATTAAGTTTATGGATGACCTATGGTTATAGTGCTAAATAATAAGGCCAGCTCAATTTTCCGTCATAGGTCACGAGATGAAAACAGAGCTAGCGCTAATCCCAACCCTAAACCTGGCCCCAATGCTTACCCTAACCGTAACTTACAATCTCGCCAACAATCACACGCCCTAAAATTATTTACATTTGACAAAAGTTAAACTGGCCTTAACAAATAGATTTAGCCAATGACGTATCTAAATTTCTATAAACAACCCTATACGTTTATACAGGGCAGTATTCATGAATCGTGTTCAAATAGGATTATTACAGTGCAGTATTAACAACATTAGTCGTATTCAACTATAAGATTGTATCGAGTGAATATAGGTCAACTATTAAATACAGATATAACTGATATGATATATAGGTCAATATATAATAGATATTGATTATCGATTTATAATAGGTGCATATATCATATTATATAACACAGGTGTGTTATTCACACTTATAACATTTTACCTGGGCAGCGTCATTTTACCTGGGCAATGTCATTTTGACTGGGTAATGTCATTTTGCCAGGACAGTCATTTTGACTGGGTAATGTCATTTTGCCAGGACAGAGTCATTTTGCCTGGGCAGTGTTATTTTGCCAGGACAGAGTCATTTTGCCTGGGCAGTGTTATTTTGCCAGGACAGCGCAATTTCGCCAGGAGAGAGTCATTTCGCCAGAGCAATGCCATTTTATCAGGGCAGTGTCATTTTTTTTTTAAAAGCAGTGTCATATTTTTAATGCTGTGTCAGTTTGTCAGGGCAGTGTGATTTTACCAGGGCTTATATTTGAATATATATTATTGAATATTATACAACTAATGGTTATTGAATATTATATAACTGGTGGTTATTGGCTGTAATATAATATTAATATATCACACCTTGTGTCATTGTATTACATTGTATACGTGTATAATATTACCCCATGATTTACCTATACACAGGTACATAAAGGTTGTAGTCTTTTTTATATACCGTTTATAAGGTAGATATTTTATACAATAGATTAGTGACAGGCGATTAGGTCTTTTTTTACTTTGTAAAACTCGGGTCGGGAATATTTGATTAGCAAAAAGTAGTGGCATATGACGTCCATAGAACAACGGAAACAAAATAGGGTTTAACGTCTTCGTCTTTTGCACTAAATGAATGCATGAAATCCCATAAACTGTCAGCGGTTCTTTACGTGCAATTGGGTGGGGTGGTCGTCATTGTCATTGAGTTAAGTGGTCTGGTTTCAATTCCCTACATGTACGTGACAAGGAGTAGGATCGCCTGTCCAACCTCGTGGGTTTTCTCCGGGTCCTCTAGTTTCCTCCCACTGCTAAAGACTCCTACGCGTAAGGGAATAATTGAAATAAATTGAACCATGCTAGTCATATATGAGCGGCTTTTGACCTTATGACGTCAGACATTGATTAATCAATCAGCGTTGACGTGTCTAGTGGTATACCCAAAGTTCCGTGCACCTCACGTCAAAAACTCGGCGTAACAGATCGTTTCATTGGCCAGCTAATCCCTCACAAAATCCAGGATGCCTGTTGTATAACAACTCTTCCAGATCCTAGTGTTGCAAAGACAAGTAAAACGAAATTTTGAATTATAAAAAACGAAACGAAATAGGATCTGTGTTTTTGTACTATTACATCGACTATACACTGTTCCTTATCACGTCCACCAATCTACATCACTGATAAGGAAGGAAACGTGATGTTTCTTGGTCAGTACCGGGATCAAAAAAAGGGACGTACTGGTTAATGTATCTGGCTTACTCACTGAATCACTGTGGCTCCCCTAGAACACCTTATAACTTTTCTCATATCTAACGTGATTTGAGTTCACAACTTATAATTACCATTAAGACGAGGGAAAGCGGGAACACAATCGGTAGTCGGTTACCCATGGGAACTCCCTGTTTTATACTGAATGGGTCAGCTGTCAGGCTGGAGTCAAGTAAGACGTTAACAAATCGATATTATCATGCATAAACAGGCTCGTTTGGGGCCATTTAGTGATCCTGTATAAGGCTATAGGTCACGAAGCTGACCCTTTGTTTGGCGAATTATTCTCTGTATTAAATTAAATGAAATGAAATGGGGTTTAACGTCCTACTGTTCTGCTCCTAACCTGGGCTAATGAAGACGGGCATACTCCATGCAGTGTTCTATGAGGGGAAATTTTGCCCGGACAGCGGCACTACGTCTCATCTAAATAACTAGACAGCTGTCATTGTCAGGCCCTCCGTCCTACATCACTGACAAGGGGGGAACCACGCCAGAAAATCTGGATGAACTTTCTCGGCCAATGCAGGGATCGAACACCCGACCTCCAGGCTAGCGAGCCAGCGTCTTACCCATTTAGCCAGCGAGATCCCCTCTCTGTATTAAAGGGAAATGGGATTTGACGTCCTCTCGACATAAACTAACACATGTTTAAGTTTCAATTTTATTTCAGTAATTCGTTAAATGTGAGAGGAAACAGGGGGACTCGGAGAAAACCCACTTGACTGGACAAGCGACCCTACTCCTTGTCACGTACAACTGGGGAATCGAAACCACGCCAGTTGACTCAATGACAGACCTTATGATACAGCGCACACCCGCTAACCATTCGGCCATCCAAACCCTCAAGATTTGTCAGAGAAAAAACCCATGGTAAAGCAGGGGATCACGTGGCTAAGTGGGTAAGACGCTGGCTCGCTAGCCTGGAGGTCGGGTGTTCGATCCCTGCATTGGCTGAGAAAGTTCATCCAGATTTCCCGGCGTGGTTTCCCCGTGTCAGTGATGCAGGAAGGAGGGCCTGACAAGGACAGCTGTCTAGTCGTTCGGATGGGACGAAAAACCGAGGTCCCGTGTACACATTGGCGTGCACGTAAAAGATCTCTTGGCAGTTGGAATTCGACATAAGAGTGGGCCTTAGCGCCGCTGCCCGGGCAAAATTTCCTTCATAGCACACTGTATGGCGTATGCCCGTCTTCATTAGCCCAGGTTAGGAGCAGAACAGTAAGACGTTAAACTCCATTTCATTTCATTTCATTTTGCACTCGTTCAACCATTCGGCCACCCAAGCCCCTCTCTGTATTAAGTATCCGGTCATAGATCATTTGAGGGATTTTGCGCCATATTGTCCGAGCGTAATTTTGATTTCTTACCGATATGTAGAAGCACCTGATTAACAACAAAGAATAGAAAGAGCCTCGAGCGGACCCAGCCAAATAAATTTATTCTAACTCTTTGAATCTTGATATATACAAATATACTTTTTACGTTTATATATAATAAAGGACATGTTGATTGTCGTGTCTTTTGAGATTTAAGTACATTTTATCTTTGAAGCTTGCACGATCTGTGAGTTTTATGTTTGTAAACTGACCTATAATGCGAATCACTGTTCTTAAACATACATAATGCAAGAGCTAAATCTGCCTATTTCAGGTCTTTCTTTAGGCCTGAAATGTTATCTAAATTATTAATAAGACATTAATTAACTTATCCAGACCATAATCACCTCTCGATGTCATCGCTAACCTGTGATATTTACTGGATTAAGATCCGATTTCCTGTTCGATTTCCATTCAAAATTTGATCATGAAATGGATAATCGAGGCTACGTTTTTTTTATTGTATTGACTTTAGTAATAATGATCGAGGCTAGGCCGAACATTCAATCGCTAAAATCTCGGTTCAGAGTGGATCAATTTGACGGAAATTTTCAGCAAATTCCCTTTACATTATCTAGTTTTTAACTATTATAGTGAGAACTGCCAGCTCTTTATCTAATCTTCCATAATGTATCTTTAATATCAGTTACATTTTAAGTATCCAAAGGATCGGCTCACCGGAAAAAACCCAATCCCAACTGTTCCCACAGTCCAGAATAGTTGAGCAAATTTAGTAGAACGACAGCCCAAAATATGGATAAATAAATAAATGAAGAATACAGTTATAGAGAGTTGACAAATAAATTGATGAGGATAATATCGTGAAGGCATATTTCAAACAGAGAGGAAGAGAGAGAGAGAGAGAGAGAGAGAGAGAGGAATGAGGTTTAACGCCCACTCGACACAAACAGGTCATTTTGGGACTAGCATATGGTTCAATTTTATTTCAATGTACACTTGCAGATAGGGGTCTTTAGCAGTGGGAGGAAACCGGAGAACCCGGAGAAAACCCACGAGGTTGGACAGGCGACCCTACTCCTTGTCACGTACAACCGGGGAATCGAAACCACGCCAGTTGACTCAATGACGGGCCTTATGATACAGCGCGCTCGTGCTAACCATTTGGCCATCCAACCCGACCATATTTTAAACAACATAGCAAATATAGAAGGGAGTGTCCAACTCTGCCCCACCCCCCCCAACCGCGCCTGAGGTTAACATCTTAAACTCTGTCTCATTTGAACGATGTGGGGTGGGTGGCCGAATGGTGAACGCGTGTGTGTTTGATCACAAGGTTTGTCATTGGGTCAAGTGGCGTGGTTTCGATTTCCCGTGGGTATTCTCCGGGTTCCACGGTTTCCTCCCACTGCTAAAGACCCCTATGCGCTAGCGAATTATTGAAATTAAATTGAACCATATGTTAGTCCCGAAATGACCTAGTTTGTGTTGAGTGGATGTTAAACCCCGTCTCTCTCTCACTCTCTTTCTCTCTCTCTCTCTCTCTCTCAAGAAAAACAATTCTCAATATTATAGTCGCATGGTTTCGATTTCCCGTTGGTTTTCTCCGGGTTCTCCAGTTTCCCGTAATTGTTAGTCCCGAAATGATCTAATATGTGTGTCGAGTGGGCGTTAAACCCATCTCTCTCTCTCTCTCTCTCTCTCTCTCTCTCTCTCTCTAATTTGAACGATAAACCACAGTAGAAATTGAACATTATGGTCGACTAAATTCAGTTAAAAAAGGGTCTTCGTCGCTGCCTTGGCAAAATTTACACAACATCTAATCAAGATAAAGAGGCTTAAGAATTAATTTATATTAAAAAGAATTAATTCGCTACAAGATTGTCTTTTTTAAAGAATATTTCTAATATTAGATCAAATAATGAAAAGGATAAAGTATATAAAAGTCGTTTATTTAAGAATAATAAAGATCCGTGAAAATAAAAATTTCAACTGCACGAGGATAATTAAATCCAAAAGGTACACGGAATAAAAAATTAACAATAAGCATACCTTGTCTCGTGTACGTCACTAGTAATTACACAACAAAAAACATTGATTTTCCGCATAATATTCGTTACAAAAAAAAAATGTGTATATGTTGTAAACGTATTTGTCTTTATCGTATCGATTTCATTTATTCAACAAATTTTTTTTTTTTTCTTAAACCTAACAAACTATATTTATTTTAAAATGTCATGTGTTCGGCAGTTAAAAAGCTTTATTTTTCACACCTACCACTACCATCGTAAAGGTCGTTTTTAAAAATTGCATATGATAAGTTTTAATCTTTTTCAAGTATTGCTGTTGTTTACCACAGTTGTGTCAACGCAAGTCCGAGACAGGTTGACAATTTAACTCCACATAAATCGTTAAAAATAGACTAAAAGTTCAAAAAAAAAAAATCCCACCCCTTCCTTCTACACAGGCCTTATATTATATTATTATACCTACATATTATATAGGTCTAGCGAACAGGTGCCCGTGGCTACAGGCAGGCGTTATGGATACATCCAAACATCGTATATAATATATACTAGCGGCCATATATCAGCATACAGACGTAGTGTGTCCGTCATGCTTCGTGATTTTTCCTTTTCCTTGTGTGTGAACTACCCCAGCCTGCCTGAAGCCGGTGTCTAGCGAGTAATCTTTATGCGGCTAGAGTACTGACTGTGTATATTATGGAGAAGTGATTGTGTGTAACGTCCCTGAGTCTCAGCCAACTACGCTCTAACTAGCCAACTATATATAAACACACCATACTACTAGTGAGGAGTGAACTCTGCGTTATATCCATTAGTACACGCCCTCCAGGGGAAATACGTCATTGCCACACGGTGCCTACCCACGACTCACAACACTCTTATTCACGTGGGTCGGCTACCCAATCAGGGCAGGGGCAAACGCGCGTGACGCAGATATACAGCCAGCCTTATATGGAAATCTAGTTGTCCGACCCCCACCCTACAGAGAAGAAACGGGGGACGGGATACGAATACACCTACACGAAAAAATATACGAACCCCAGGGATAAAGTGAAGAAGGAGCTATCGATATTTGGTGAGTACATTATCTTCATCATGGTTAAAAACATCGAGTTGTGGACGGTATAACTTATACGCTATCTCTCTCACTCCATCGACCGAACGGCAATATGGTTGCACGAGCTACAGCATGCACGAGGCCTGGGGGGTCAGGCAGTTAATATGGTCGCCATAGCAAAACGAGAGCTAACCGAGCCGATAGAAGGGACTTGGTTTCATTTATTAAATGGGGTAAAACTTCATTTGTTTTAAATTCTCTGTCATCATTTTCTCACAGTTCGGTGAAGGGAAAGAGTAAATATGGCCGAAGCTGAGCGGAAATCTGTTGAGAGATTAGTCAAAAGTGGGTGGGTAAGATAAGAACGTAGCGATGGAGCGAGGTGGTAGGGAAAGGCTGAATCGACCGACTCGACAACACCGTGGCCTTGACAAACATTTACAAAATTATTACCAACATTTCTCCATTTTGAATAAAAACGAAGTGTTTAAAACTTAGGAAAACAATGTATTATGCTATTGTTAGTGTAAAATCAATGGTAATCTAAGGTTCCACGTGTTGGAGTTAAAAATAGTAACAAATTACGTAGTATGTATATAATATTAAAGATGGGAAATACATCAAATAATGCACAGTTAATATACCACATTAATTTAAATACTTTTTGTACTGAATAATCAATTACATTATTCAAAATGAAAAATATATTACCCATCACGGTGTCTCCACTGTGAACCAAAGGTACAAATTATAAATAAGATAAAAAAAAAAAGAAAAAGTGTGATTTATTGCTGATAATGCACAGTAATTACTGTGATATATCACTCAATATGTAACAGTTGGAATTAATAAAATGGAGGCTTATTTTATTTTAATGTGTTAGAATAGACACTGGTGGAATAGAACATAGTCAAGTGCATTTATGATATATCGTGACCCCAGTTGACCCCAAATGGTTACAATTTTTTTTTTTCTCTATCAGTCAATTTTAACTGTGTTTTATTCATGACTTAGTTGAACAGGACTAGGTTGTTGGTTCATGCCACAAGGATAGGAAGTGGTTTAAAAATAAAAATATGCACTGCCCTGAGTTTTAGGAAGTGGTTTAAAAATAAAAAAATATGCACTGACCTAAGTTTAGTTGGACGAAATAAATGCTTAAATGATGGATCACATGACTCGAACACGACATTGTGCATTTGGGAAAAAATAAAAATCAGAATAACATATGTAGGGCCTAACTTTATTTATTATAAATTGGGCCTACAATCTTGGGTTATTTTGGGGTTTTTTTTACGGGTGGCGGGGGGGGGGGGGGGGGGAGGGGGGTTGGTGAAGCTGGGTTTAGAAACTGAACAGATTAAGATTATGAAAACAATTTTATAGAAAATACACAATAATGACAAGAGAACCATTATAGTAACTAGTATATTTATTTATGAATTTATGGCAGATTATATATAGGCCTACGATATATATTTTTTTTTTGGGGGGGGGGGATGGGACAGTGTTTAGCAGCGTTTAGTAATTGAACCTATTATAGTAATGAAAAGAATTTTATGGAAGACATAATTATTTGAAAATGACATAAGAATTATTATAGCAAAGACATAGCTCCAATTAAAATTGATTTATTGTCTTCCAGAAAACTGTTGTAATTGTTTTTCTTTCGTTTTGAAATAAGGATTCAAATTAGCTCTGTTATTTTTATCTTGGGGGGGGGGGGGCGGGGATGGAGAGCTTGTTTCCAACCTTTTCTTTGTTTTGAATCATATGCTAATCCAGAAATAACTAAGTTGGTGTCCAGTGGAGGTTAAAACATCATTTCTCTCTCTCTCTCTCTCTCTCTCTCTCTCTCTCTGAGATTTTGTTTTTCTGATTTCAGTTTTGTCAAGGAATATGTATTTTGCCTTTAAAGAGGTGGTTGACACGGTGGCTAAGTGGGGGGATCACGGTGGCTAAGTGGGTAAGACGCTGGTTCGCTAGCCTGGAGGTGGCGTGTTCGATCCCTGTATTGGCCAAAAAAGTTCATCCAGACTTTCCGGCGTGGTTCCCCCTTGTCAGTAATGCAGAAAGGAGGGCCTGACAAGGACAGCTGTCTAGTCATTCGGATGGGACAAAAAACTGAGGTCCTGTGTACACATTGGCGTGCACGTAAAAGATCCCATGACAGTTGGAATTCGATGTATGAGTAGGCCGTAGTGCAGCTGTCCGAGCAAAATTTCCCCTCATAGCACACTGTATGGCGTATATGCCCGTCTTCATTAGCCAAGTTCAGAGCAAAACAGTAGGACGTTAAACCCCATTTCATTTCATTTAAAGAGGTGTTGTCAAATTAAAGAGGTGCTGTCAATAATATTCAGGCTAATTAAAGATTTGTTTTTCTGACCTAAAAAATAAATCAAATTAATTTTCAATATTCCTTTAGAGGCATTTACAAACTGGATTGAGTAAAAAAAACCTATAACACATACTTATTGAAGAACAATTACTGATTTATTTGGGTGACGTTTTTCTCTCCGCGTTATCAAGCATATTCAAAAAAGATTTAAATTCTTGTTCTGTAATGATCGAAAATTGAAACTCGTTCCAGGTTAGACAACTCTTTAACGAATGTTTGGAAAAAAAACTTGATATAAAAATAATAGAAGTTTATGTAAATATGGGAGACCTGACTGACAGTGTGTAGAGAGCAGTTCTTGGCTATTTTAATGTGGAACTGTCTAGGAGGGAACATGGTAGTTTTATAGAGTGCGGTATGGGGAGAGACTATATTTGGCCGGACGACAACTTCAATAATTCTTTGTCAGACGTGAAGTGTTAGCTTTCTATAATTGTGTGCTTTCCCATCCTCGATTATTTGAACAACCAAATGTCCCTTCGTGCTTCAAACAGGGGTTATAAGTTTTCAAATTTTTTTACTGTTCTTTTCGATTGCCAAATTTTGCTGTCAGGGCGTCAAACTTTGTTTTTTTTTTGCTGGGTGTAAATTTTGAAATTTGTTTATTAGCGGACGTTTGGTAAAGAAGGGAGATAATATTGATTCATGAGATTAAAAGATTTTCTCATATCGTTGTTTGTCCTGCGTTAGCTTTGTTTTATAGTTTCTATGGAAACATTATTTTGTCGAGCTAAATGCTGAAAAAGACATAATTTTACATAATTTGTCAACCTGATTGTTAGTCGGGCGATTTTAACTCCTTTACAAACTACAATATTGTGAAAGTTGAATCTCTCAGGTCAGAAATGAATTAGGATAATAGTCAAAACAAGAATAGGATGAATTATAGTCAAAACAAAGATAGGATGAATTAGGATATATAGGATAATAGTCAAAACAAGGATAGGATGAATAAGGATAATAGTCAAAACAAGACTAGGATGAATTAGGATAATAGTCAAAACAAGGATAGAGTGAATAAAGATAAGAGTCAAAACAAAGGATAGGATGAATAAGGATAAGAGTCAAAACAAGACTAGGATGACTAAGCCACTAAGGATAATAGTAAAAACAAGGATAGGATGAATTAGAATATATAGGACAATAATAATTAAGTAGATTAGAACAGTTTGGCCATTTAATGATTTAATTTAAAAAAGGAGAAGTGAGACTAGGCCTGGAATATATACCAGTACCATGGTAACGATAATAAACAATCAATGCACATATTCTTGTTAAAACTACAAACAGAAATAACTTAAAGTAATCTGAATGAAATTTTCAATATATTCATTTTTCATTATCTAATTTGGAACTATTAATATTATGGCAAGAACAACTAGGTCTTTATCTCAATCTTACATAATGGATCTCTTTTTAATCCGGGGGGGGGGGGGGAGGGGGTGTGGAATGGCCGAATGGTTAGCACATGTGCGTTGTATCATAAAGTCTGTCATTGAGTCAACTGGCGGGGTTTCGATTCCCTGGTTGTACGTGACAAGGAGTAGGGTCACCTGTCCACCCATATGGGTTTTCTCCGGGTCCTCCGGTTTCCTCACACTGCTAAAGACCCCTATGTGCAAGCGAATTATGTAAATAAAATTGAACCACATGTTAGTCCCAAAATGACCTAGTTTGTGTTGAGTGGAGGTTAAACCCCATTTCTCTCTCTCTCTCTCTCTCTCTCAGATTGTGAGGTTATGATTTTATTTTGCTGATTCATCAAAAGAACGATATTTTCGGATAAAATTAAGTTTTTGTATGGATGAGAGGGCTTCATTATCTTCGAAAGAAGACCTTTAAATTTTATTTCAATTCAAAGGAAGCCATCTTTAATGTGTAATTTCAGAAAATCTACATTTTATAAAAATTTAAATTAGTAGGCCTAAGTATTTGTTCTGATGCAGAAGTGTACACACGTAGGTTAACGGGGGACCGCCTTCTTTATATATCAAATGTAATTATTATTTATGAATAGTCGCAAGTACTTTAAAATGTTAAAATGTTACTAAACCAGTGTTGAAATCAGTTTGTGTCGGCATACCTTTTATCTTTTCATCGTTTACCGTGAAACAAAGTAGTGCAGTTTTACGGTTGTGCTAATATTTTTGGATATATAGATATAGATATAAATAAAGTAAGCAGACGGGTAAATTCCCAGGGTGTGTCGTATGAAGTTTAGGGGTGACGTTAGCCTAAGGATTGGCAAGTCACTATATCAAACACAAATCTTTCTTTTATTAGAATAGATACTGTTCGTGATGACTTAAGTAGACATGATCATAAAGACACACTTCTTCTGTAGTTTAAAGTAACAGTTTCACTAGAATATGATTCTATGCTAGACACCTTGGTTATATCTACAGATGTAGGCCTGATCATCAAGACACACTTCCTCTGCAGTTTAAAGTTTCACTAGGAATAGAAATCTGATTCTATGCTCGACACCTTGCTTATAACTACAGATATTTTGTTAAAAATATAAATTTGCTATCTAATGTTGCATCTACTCATGTTCATCCACTGTATAGTTTGTAACGTCCTTGTTTTGTTCAACAGTTTTCCTGTATTTGTATCA